TGGGATCTGGGGCTCCCATCTGGATCCATCTCTAGTTCTAAGCTACTTCTTTTTTACACCTTCTTTGGCCCTAAATGCCTGATTTTTCCACATTGTGGTGCACCCCAATATCACACATGCACTGGCCCAAATGCAGCCTCTGGGTAAGCAGGTGCAGCTCCCATTGACTTCACTGGGAATTTCACATCCTTGCAGCAGGTCTGACTTTGATCTTATTAATTGTATGTTCATTCCAGCACCCCCTGCTGAATAGATCTTGCATTAGAGGACCTTATGGCAACCTTATTCAATTAGCTGCCTCCTTCACCAGTCTCTGATTGCATTTGCTTGGTGTACACAAACAAGGCCCAGCCACCTGCAAAGGGCCTACAGGGCTAGCTCAGACAGATGCAGTATGCCAGTAAGAGCTGGAGGGGATGTAGGAATCTCGAAGCTAGAGATCAGCATGAGTCAAAATCCTGGCTCTGAGAACCCGAGTTTGGTTCTGGATGTGTAAGCTCCACCACTGACCTCTCTCTATAAAGGCCCAGGCCCAAAAGCCCAGATCTGACCAACCAACTTCACCTCCGGCCCCCCGAATTTTTGGGATGAGTCCCAATTTCATTCAGTTTGAGACAGACTCCGCTGCAGTGCTCACTAGTGGAAAGGCTTCACTCACGAGGCAGCTCATTGCCCCAGACGACAGTAGATGCTGAAGAGCCACTATTTAAATTGGATGTCCTTTGCCACTGTTGGCAACTGCCCTGCAATACAACTCTGCTCCCATCTGCTTATGGACACAAAGAAACTTCCACTGCAGAGCTCAAGGGGTCTTTGCCAGCTAATGAGCTGGCAGGCGGGTATTCCCAGAAGACCCTTTCTCAATACTGTCTCATCAGAGCACCAACCCAGTGGCAAGAGAGCTTAAACCTATCCATGCACGTCGTCGTCAGCAGAGTATGCGATGAACGTCAGCAGGCAGCCCCAACAGAGTGGGAGACCAATTACACTGAAGCACACAGGGAATGGTATAAATACTGAGAGCAAACTGTGCAGGCATCGGTGAAGTCTGAGGACATAGTGAGCAGGAGATCGGAACAGGGTGAGTACCTCAATTTCTCTCATGCTTTGCAAACCGTGTTAGTTACAAGCTTATCCGATAGCAGAAGTACTTCTGGGGGCACGGTATCCTAAAGGCGTTAAATGCAAATGGATTTCATGTATGTGATTATCTTTCATAGAGTCAAATAAATCTGGAGTGGCTCCAGTGGAATTCCTCCAGCTTTCCACTGGTGAAACTGGGGTCAGAATTTGCCTTCTAGATATGAAAACAAAACCGTAAATAGTGGCTAATCAACCCCAGCCAACCTGAGTATTTCAGCAGCAAGGTGCTGGCTTGCCTTCCTCTTGCCAGCTACAATATCTTCATCGTGTAATAGTTGATCTGACTTTCTTTTGTTAAGATGGTAATATTTTGAAATGACAGAGAACCGCACAGCAGTTGAGCACAGAGTAAATTCCCCTGCAGAACTGGGTGAGCCTGGAGATGGTATCATGCTGCTTCAGGCTGGATACGTCTCACAAGTTAGTTATGCAGTTGCTTTAAAAAAAAAAACAAGAGGGGAAAAAATTCTTATAATGAATATTCTTGACATCAGTGAGAGAACCCTGTAGGATCCCATCTAACCTCTATCTAGCCTGCACTCAGCCCAACAGTAGCCAATTGCTTGTGGTCTTTGATCACCATCGGAGCCCTTGAAGAGGGCAAGTTTGCAGCGGGAGTTTTCCTATCAAAGCTTAAAATGGGTTGGGATGTCACAGACTCAACTCCCTGGAGCCTTCAGGAAAAAAGAGAGAGGATTTTGAGATGGGGTGAAGAGAATTTAGTCACTGATTACAGGCACTGTTTTATACCATGAATGAATGAAATTCCATCCTGACTTAATGACAGACCTGGCACTTGGCTGAGAATGCTTTAAATCCTGACTGAGATCTCACTAAACCCTGATCGCAGAGACCTGTTCAGAAGAGTTTGTGATGCTGTGTCTGGTGGAACGGGGAAGTGCCACAAACTGGAACAAAGTGTTGCCCGGGATGCACGGGGGAATCAAGATTTTTGGGTTCTAGTCCCAACTTTGCCACTGACTTGCTGTGTGGTTTTGGGAAAGTCACTTAACATCTCAATATTTCCATGTTTAAAAGGAGCATAATAATCTCCTCAAGGTGTTAGGGGATTGGATTGATATTTAGAAAGCACTTCAAGGCCCTCTGTGCTAGAGAAGCGCACAGCCTTGGTATATAGTTGTCACTGCAGTTTCTTTAGGTTGTAAAATGAAGAGGGTAAAATTACACACTTCTTTCCCAGATTTAGGATATTGATGAAATCACAAACACTGCTCACATTGTGCTCAGTGGCTTGAGAGTACAGTAGAACCTCAGTTACGAACACCTCGGGAATGGAGGTTGTTTGTTACTCTGAAATGTTTGTAACTCTGAACAAAACATTATGGTTGTTCTTTCAAAAGTTTACAACTGAACATTGACTTAATACAGCTTTGCAACTTTACTATGCAGAAGAAAAACGCTGCTTTCACTTTATTTTGTGAATAGTTTGGGTTTAACACAGTACTGTACTGTATTTGCTTTTTTTTTTCCGTCTCTGCAGCTGCTTGATTGTGTACGTCTGATTCCAAATGAGGTGTGTGATTGACTGGTCAGTTCATAACTCTGGTGTTCGTAACTCTGAGGTTCTGCTGTACCATTGACCAGTATGTGAGCGGGGATGATGGATTGGCTCTTAGGTTAGCTCCACCTAACAAATGCTGCCGACAAAGGGATGGCACCAGAGTCAGTTGCAAACTGTTCTAACACAGGGAGCAAAGCTGACTGCAGGGTTTGGCCGTACAGGTTCAATGGAGCACGTTCAGAGCTTTTTGCTTTGCCCTGCTCTCTCAAACCTGCACCACAGAACCCTGGGGAAAGACCTCTTGGATCAGCAACTCCTCCCTTTCCCCAGCCAGTGCAAACGCCCCAACACTATGGACCCAATCCTGCTCTGTTACACGAGTGTAAACCCAGAGTAATGCCACTGGGGTGTCAGAGGTGCTGGGATAAATCCAGATTAGCCCCATTTTGCTTTGCACTGGTGTAAGTTTTAGTGCAGTTATCAGTCCCTTCCAGGATTGCTTAGTTGAAGGCAGGACCTAGGGAGACCCAATGAGGTGACATCCAGGAGGAGGCAGCACAGGCTGGGAGTGCCATCAGATAAAGAGAGTCTAAGGCCAGAACGGACCCTTGTGATCATCTCATCTGACCTCCTGTAGAACACGGGCCAGGGAACGTCCCCAAAATAATTCCTAGAGCAGAGCTTCTAGAAAAACATCCAATCTTGACTTAAAATTTGTCAGTGATGGAGAATGTTCCAAATGTTAATTACCCTCACTGTGAAAAATGTATATCTTATTTCCAGTCTGAATTTGTCTAGCTCCAACTTCCAGCCATTGAATCATGTTATACCTTTCTCGGCTAGTCTTAAGAGCCCATTGTCAAATATTTGTTCTCCCTATAGGGACTTATAGACCAGGGGTGGCCAAACTGCGGCTCTTTTATAAAGCTTCCCATTCTCTGCCTGCCACACTGGGGGGAGAGCTCAGGGCTTCTGCCCTGCGGCAGGGTGGTGGGGCTAGGGGCTTCTGTCAGAGACGACTGGTGCCTGGTATGGGGGGGCACAATATAAAGGTTTGGGCCCCCCAACAGCTTGAGTCATGCCCCCAAGGCGCACACACCCCTTACCCTTAGCGGCCCCTCCCTGCAGCTCTCAGGTGTTAGCTCTGCCTGGAGAGGCAGCGGCAAACAGCTGGGAGCTGCAGGGAAAACGGCTGCTCCCAGCTGTTTGTCACTGCCTCTCCAGTCTCCCCACAGCCACAGCTCCCAGCTTGCCAGCTCCAGCAGCTGCTGTGCAGAGAGGGGGCCTGGCAGCACCATGTGACCGAGTGGGCCCAGCAAACTCTGGGGAGGGGCACAAGGCCCTACATCTCTCAGCCACATGTCGCCTCTGGCTTTTGTCCAGTGGGAAGGGGAGTGTCTCAGGGCTTCAGCCCTGCAGGGTGCACCTGCCAGGGCTCGGGACTTCAGCAGGAGCAAGGCTTCAGCCCTGATCCCCGAGACCCCACTCCGCACAAGGCTGAGGCCCCGAGCCTCGGCAGGCACCCCCGGCTCTCAAGCTTCTGAAGATTGCCGTCTGTGGCTCGGAGGATCAGTAAGTTTGGCCACCCCCGTTATAGACTGTAATCAAGTCACTCCTTAACCTTCTCTTTATTAAGCTAAATAAATTGAACTCCTTGAGTCTATCGCTATCAGGCAGGTTTTTTAACCCTTTAATCATTCTCGTGGCTCTTCTCTGAACCCTCTCCAATGTATCAACATCCTTCCTGAATGGGTGGGCACCAGAACTGGACACAGGATTCCCGCAGTAGTCGCACCAGTGCCAAATACAGAGGTAAAATAATCTCTCTACTCCTACTCGAGAGTCCCGTTTATGTATCTCAGATCACATTCGCTCTTTTGGCCAGATCTGCCTATAGGTCTTGAGCTAATGCTATCCTTAGTCCCTTTAGAAGCCAAGTGTCTTTCATCTAAGGGCCACGTAGCCCGTTACTGATGTTAACCAGTTGGACTTCACAACCACCCTGCCAGGCAGGTGAGTGTTATCCAAATTATACAGCTGAGGAACACAGACACACAGCAACCTGCCCAGGGTCACCCAGCGGGAGAGCTGGGAAGAGAACCCAGGCTCCCTGTTCCAATCTCTTCCCACCAGGCCATGCTGCCTGTGTGCACCCTGCCCTGGCTGGGATGATTTAGTTGGGAATTGGTCCTGCTTTGAACAGGGGGTTGGACTAGATGACCTCCTGAGGTCCCTTCCAACCCTGATATTCTATGATTCACTGCGTGCTAGGGAATGAGGCGCTGCCTGCCATATGGCTCAAGAACCACACACACTGTGGGACTTTTCCCTCCGCTGATTGCTCCCAGGCCATGTCCGACTTGCTCCTCCCTTCTCCTTGCAGGATCTCCCCATTCAGCCAGACAGCGCCATGGCATGTCAACGACCTCTCCTGCTCTTGCTCTTTGTCGTGCTAATAGTCGGCACCCACCTGTCGAGCGCTCAGCACTGGTCCCACGGCTGGTATCCCGGAGGGAAAAGAGAACTAGATTTGTCACAGACTCCAGAGGTGAGTTCCAGCCTTTCCCTAGGGGGATCTTCCATATTACTTGAAAGCCCACAGTACGTTGTAGATACATCTTGTTCTGCAGCCCTAATTTAAGGACTGATCCTGGGAGGTGCTGAGCATCCACATGGGATCCAGTGGGAATTGTGAGTGCTCCGCACCTCTCAGGATCAGGTCCTTTAATGAAAATGCTGACAAACCTAGAGAGAAACCTTTCATCGCCACTTCCCAGCCCTGTGCTCACCACCCAGAGCACACGGCCTTCAGACACTGATCAGGATCTGAACTGTCCCACGGCTCAGGGTTCTTCTGATCTGCACAGCTGCGGCATCATAACAGACACAACTGGGAAGAGACGACAACTGGGAGAGGGCCAAAGCTGGACAGCCTTTAGTGCTTTCACATGCTAGCTTTAAGGCATGCACCATTTCCTCCTTTCCTGCACAGCATGTCAGCTGCCCTTCAAGGCAGATCCATGTGGAGAAGGGTTCCATCTTGAATTCAGCCGTTTGGGGGACTTCTCCCCCCCCCCCCCCAATATGCATTGACTGAATTTTGTCACCATCCAATATCCAGACATTAGAGCACAGCAAATTTCATGCACATTGGAAAGGCATGAAGAGGTAACAGAGAGAAATGAGCTAACGCATAGCTCTGTTAACAGAAAAATACCCTGTAGGTCCTGCACAGAGGCTACTAACTCATTTCACACCAGGACACCAAACAGCCATCGGTGGTAACGCTTCCACTTCTAGGGTTATAGGAATTGCTGTATCGGATCAGATTGGTCACTCATTCTAGTCCAACATCCTGACTCTCATAATGGCCAGTACCAGCAGCTTAAAAGGAAAGTACAAGACACTCTTCAGTGGACAATTATGTAATAACCAGTCCATAGTGAAAGTTTGTCGTCTGCTCATGCAGGCTTATACTCCACAGCATGAGGAGTATATCCCTTGTTTCTTTCCCCCTAACTGTGAATATAAGTGTCTTCATGACAGAGCAGGGCTGGATTTAATTTAGGGAGGAAAGACCATGTAGCCACCCAATCCTGGAAATGTATTTGTTTTGTTTGTGAGTTCAGGCTTCAGAAGAAATCAAACTCTGTGATGGGGAAGAGTGTGCTTATCTGAGAAGTCCAAGGAAAACCATTGTGGACACTCTGCTGGTAAGAACAACATGCAACCTTCTCCAGTAGCTACCAGAGTGCCTCAGCATTTAGCAGAGGAGGCGAAAGTGGGGGCAGTAGTGAACAATCCGGTATTGTCAATGATTAGAAGTATTTTCTATCTCTAATGCCAAGGCTTTTAAAGACAAACAACAAACACAGCTGTCTACCCAAAAGAACGTAAAGATCTAGCAAGCTGCTGGGCATCTCCTATGAAAAGTTCAGAATCATGCTCGGGACACCTGTCCGGATAGGAAGAGCTCAAGAGATAAAACGTCCAGGTTATTCAAGTTCTTACATTGCTCCTGTCACGGGGGTATCTGAATGTGGCCTCTGTTGTTTCCTTAATGTACATATAATAATAATAATGAATTTTTAGGGAGCACAGTCAGGCAAGAGGGGTAGGTGAGTGGTAGAAAGTTAATTGGAAGATGTAAGCCTTGAAAGGAGGGATTTGAAGGAGTAATGAAAGTCGGGGAAGATAAGCCAGACATAATGGGTGGAGTGCCCATTTAGAGAGAAAAACATTCAGCATTTAAAAGACTGGGAAAATTATTTATTATTTGTACTGCAGTGGTACAGGCCCCGACTGTAGATCACAACTCCACTGTGCTAGATGCTGAACAAATGGTCTGAGATCAATCAAATGCGATTAAATGGAGAAATGGGCCCAATAAATTGTGGGATTTTAAAAAAAATTTCTTTGTTGCCGAACAGGCTGACCTGCTGGCGAGACAACTACAGAAGAAGAAGTGAGCCTTTCCACAGACTCTTTCCGAAATGCTTGCCAGCCCCACTGGCTTTTCAGTCACTTCCTTTGCAACATGATGGTGTGTCTGTAGATTCCATGTATCTGACCGTTAAAGAATTCTTATGAACATCTTGGCTGACTGCACTCGAATGCTGGGAACGTGGATAGTGGTGTAATGCTTGAGAAATGCCCCCGACCCATCACCCAACCGGAACGAGGCCCTGTTTGGAGTTCTTTACGCACTTGTGTAACTCCACCATGTTGAATAAAATACTTTATTTTGCTACATACACAATTCCATCCACATTTATGTCCTTACCCATGTCTTAAAAAAATAAAAATAAACAAATCTCCAGCCCCATAAACCAGTTTTAAGCACGCACTGATTTTTTGAACAAGAGTCGGGTCACAAGGCCCTTTATTGGTAATTCCTGGCCCTCCTTGCACTGCTTTCTGGGTAGTTCAGCCTTCTGGCTGAGTGCTGGACTATTCTGCCAAACTTGATTCAAAATGTGAGAAAACGTCCTATGTACGGCCCTTTATTCACAGAGATACAGATATCAGGGAAAAAGTAACAGAGGGTCCTGTGGCACCTTTAAGACTAACAGAAGTATTAGGAGCATAAGCTTTCGTGGGTATGCTCCCAATACTTCTGTTAGTCTTAAAGGTGCCACAGGACCCTCTGTTACTTTTTACAGATTCAGACTAACAGGGCTACCCCTCTGATAAATATCAGGGGTACATGTAACCTTGGAAAGGTTTGATGGTGGTAGTTTTTTGCACAAAAGGCAACATTCTCACATTCCTATTAAGAAAATAAGAAAGAGCAATGGTAAGGTTCTTGGGAAGATAACAAAAGGAAACGTGATCCAGTGGTTAGAGTGCTAGTCTGGGACTTGGGAGACCCAGGTTAAAGCCCTTCCTGTGTGACCTTGGACAAGTCACTTAGTCTCTCTGTGACTCAGTTTCCTCTCTGTACAAATAATAGCATTTCCCTATTGGAGTGTTGTGAGGCTAAATACATTAGAGATTGTGAAGATACTGTGGTAATGGGGTTCATATACATACCTAAGCCAGCCAAAGAGGGTATCTTTTGTCTGTAGCAGGCTACATCTGCCATGAATTGGTAGCTGTTTCTGCAGCAGTGAAGTAATGTCATTAGCCAGGGTCACTGGACCCACGATCCTGTAGGGACGGGGGGCGCTGAGCACCCTGGCCTCCTGCCAATGCTGCTGGGCCCAACCCTGCTGGGAGGAGGGGGGGGCTGATGCTGCTGGGCCTGATCCTGGCAGAGGAGCTGATGCTGGTGGGCCTAATCCTGCATCACCCCATTTTTGTACAAACACAAACCATGCTGGCTCTGCGCCCAGGACAGGTGCCCCTCCTGCCCTAGTTACGGCCCTGAGGATGTCCCATGGGCCGCAGCTGTGCTGTTTGGGCCACAAGTGGCCTGCGGGCCGAGAACCACTGACCTAGACGATTCGGCCCAAGCCCGTGAGCGGGGCTGGCTATTCCGTGGGGAGCCAGGGTAGGGCGGAGGCCAGGCATGGTGTGGCTGAGGCGATGCACTGCAGCATCCTGCCCTCTGCTGGGCACCGGCCCCATCCTTTGTCGCTCTTGCCTGCCTCGCTTTTCGCACCGCCGTTTTGTGCAGCTCCTTGGGCTGCTTCTCTCCGAGGAGCAACGGTCACCTGCCCTGAGCCGTGGGGCAGCCCCAGGGGACAGCGGGAGCCCGGCCCTGAGCCGTGGGGCAGGCCCAGGGGGCAGCGGGAGCCCGGCCCCGAGCCGTGGGGCAGCGCCAGGGGGCAGCGGGAGCCCGGCCCCGAGCCGCGGGGCAGACGAGGAGAAATAGGCGGGAGCGGAGGCTGAGGAGACAGAGACCCAGGGGGCGGGGCCTGTCCCCCTGGGCGGGGCTGACTGTCTGCCCCGCAGCCCCTCCCACCAGTTGCTGGCCCGGAAAGAACTACATTTCCCATCATGCCCCTGCCCCACCCCCCTCGGGCCCGGAGCCGGCGGTGTCAGCGTCCTGCATCCGCTTCCGGGTGAGGGGTCAGGTCCATGGCGGCGCCCAGCCGGAGGTCGGGGGCGCCGCCATGCTGCCCGCGCTGAGCCGCTGCTGGGCCCCGCTGAGCCGCCGGCCGCTGCCGCTGCTGGTGCCGGCCCGGGGCCGCAAGTCCCGCCACGACCCGCCCGCCAAGTCCAAGGCCGGGAGGCTGAAGGTGCCGCCGCCCGTGGACCCGGCCGAGCTGCTGGTGGTGAGCGAGCGCTACCGGCAGTACCGGCTCGTGCTGCAGGCGCTCAGGTGTGTCCGGGGCTCGGGGTGTGTGTGTGGGGGGGTCTTTTCCCCAGGCCCCTGCCTGGAGCCAGGGAGCACTAGGGTCACCAGAGCCCAGCCTCGTGCCTCCCCCTGCACTAGG